GTGGCAATCAAATATGTGAAATTCTTCACCATTTACTGGAACACTTTGGTTTTCCTCCTTCTCAAATCATCTGTTTTGACAGAGAACAGAAGACATTTCTACAGTTTTCTTTCTGATTTCAGTATTTAATTCAGAACTTTTCTCCCAGCCAGAAAGGCTGGAGAACAGAACCATTCCCTACATACCTGTATGTCTGTTACCTTGGAGAAATGACTTTTGTAGGTTCTCCTTGCAGATGGACTGAACTTGGTTACTTCAGCACAGGATTGACCTCTGCAATCAGATCTGATCACTGCATGCAGAGCATATTGCAACAGGAATCACACCAAATAGTAATTTTCTGAGTGATCTGAAGGCATGTTTGCCAGATCTTATCTTGGGGGAAGATTATCAAGGGATATCAGACAGGACACCTTTAAAGAAGAATGGAAAAATATAGCAATTTCCGTTTGTGCTGTGTCCTGACTTACACTTTTCATCTCACTTTATGCTGAATGACATATGTAGCAAATTTTTATAGGTTGCGTCAACATGTGAATATTGTAAATTTTTCTACATGACTTTTATATAAAATGTTTTTACTAAATACTTATTTAGTCTCACAGTGATTAGTGGTGTCATCCTATGGCTTCCATGACAACCCTGTCTTAAATAATTTCCCTGACATTGATTGGTGTCAGATATAATCCAACTAAATGGTTGCAATGCAAAGGACAAAATGCAAACCATTGAGCAATGCCATGTTGTGTAATTCCATAGAATTGGCTTCCAGATCCCAGCTGATGAGCTGCATCTGGAAGCAGTAAGCTGAAGAAATCCCTGAAAATGATCTTGTGACCAAAGGACAAAATTCTGAGCGTTTCCCTTGAGGTACTTCTCATGTTTCTGGGCTTTGGCAATTATTTAAGCACTGGGGATTATTATTTAGTAGCAAAACAACTGATCTTTACCCATTACCAAACTACAGTAGAAGTTGTTTGTTCAGCCTGGAGAAGAGAAGGTTCTGGGAGCATCTTCCAGGACCTGAAGAGGCTCCAAGAGAGCTGGAAAGGGACTTTTCACCAGGGCAAAGGGGGATGGACTCACACTGCCAGAGGACAGGATTAGATGGGATATCAGGGAAGGAATTCTTCCCTGGGAGGGTGGGCAGGCCCTGGCACAGCTGTGGCTGCCCCTGGATCCCTGCAGTGCCCAAGGCCAGGCTGGATGCAGAATGACAGGGCAAAGGGGGATGGATTCACAGTGCCGGAGGGCAGGATTAGATGGGATATCGGGAAGGAATTCTTCCCTGGGAGGGTGGGCAGGCCCTGGCACAGCTGTGGCTGCCCCTGGATCCCTGCAGTGCCCAAGGCCAGGCTGGATGAGCAGCTGGGATGGTGGAAGGAGTCCCTGCCCATGGCAGGGGTGGAACCAGTGCCCCAAGGGACCGAGTTCTCTCTGGAGTTGGGGAGTGAGTCTGAGGAACAGGGACACAATGCCCAGGTGTGACCCAGTGAGCTGAGTCTAAACCTCAGAATTAGTGACTGCAGAGCTCAGCTTTGCTGATTAATAAACCAGCAGTGTTTTGAAGTCTGCTTGCAGATACTACTGCTATATAAACATCTGTAAAGTAATTTGAGCTCATTCTGTGTTTTACTTTATTAAGCTGGATTACTTATATTCCAACAGCACTCCAGTGATGAGAGTTGCTAAACCATAACCTTTGAAAGCATACACCAGGTGCTACCTCCTGCTCTAAACCACGTTTATAACAACAGTCAAAACACCTTCTGTCCCTGGATATAATTAAAAAAAACCCTGAATTTGCTTTTCTTGGAGTTTTGGAGGTGCATAATTTTAAAATTAATCTCTACCTTACAGTCTGTTTTCCAGTTTCTTCTTCTCTCCACAATAAACACATAATGATTGTAGGTTCAAAGCCTTCAGATATTTCCATGACAACAAAGACTGATATAAACAAGAATTAGAACTTTACTGGACAAGAAAAAAATGGAAAGAGGGGAACAGAGGAGAGAAATCTCAAAGCTCCACAAATAGAAACTCTTCTACTTCATCTCCAGTGCTCAATGCAGTTTTGAAGCTACTGAAGAGAAACACAAATAATTTAAGAGTTCCATGAAAGGTAAATGTCTAGTATAATGTGTTTTCTAAATTATCTTTTTAATATCTGGTTTGCTCATACATCCAGCTAGTGGATAAATAGAATAAAAAGTCCTTAACTTCAGCCCCTTTCTCATTGCAGTAAGACCAATGCCTTCACTCTTGTGTTCTTGGCAACATGAAACTAATGCTCTTGTAGCTGAGGGCTGGTAGATAACTTCTGGGAGCCTAAAGCCATCTTCTCTCACAGTTCTTACCTCTTCTATCACCACTATCTGCACCACTGTCCTTCAGCAAATGCAAAGTCCAAGCAGGAATCCATTATCATGCAGTGTTTGTGGATGACAAATCTTTATATTCCATCAAATTTGGCCTGCAATTGCCAAAGAAATAAAAAAGAAAACTATAAAGCTGCCTTTCTTCTCTCTCAGCTGGCATTTTTTTCTGGCCCTGACCCAACCCCATGCAGGAAAAGCAGCCAGAGGAGCCCTTGACTCATGATACCCTTTTAAGAAGGAGATCAATGTTGCTGCATTTGAAGTACAACTGCCAGTTCTGATCCAGCTGGCTCAAAACACATCAAACTCCCAAGGAATGCAGGGTTAAATCATTGCATTGCAAGCTCAGGTTGCCTGGAGTGTGCAGATCTGGTACTCACTCACTGTTGGGTACTTGATTTTGGTATACACACCACAATCAGATATTATTCCAGAAAAGAATAAATTATTTTCCTGGGGGGAGGGAGAAAAAAACCAAAACAAAAACCAACAACAACAAAAAACCCACAAAACCCAAAAACAAAACAAAAACTAACAACAAACAAACAAACAAGAAAACAACAACAAAAAACCCACACACACTTTTCTCTCCCTGGGGAAAGAGAAATGGTCATTTTTGACAAGACACAGTTGAGCAAAACCAAAAAGAATTTATTTTCCTGGGGGGAGGGAGAAAAAAACCAAAACAAAAACCAACAACAACAAAAAACCCACAAAACCCAAAAACAAAACAAAAACTAACAACAAACAAACATATTTTCCTGGGGGGAGGGAAAAAAAAAACAAAAACCACCAAGCAAAACAAAACAAAACCACAAAAACCAAAAACAAAACAAAAACTAACAACAAACAAACAAACAAAAACCCCCACACTTTTCTCTCCCTCGGGAAAGAGAAATGGTCATTTTTGACAAGACACAGTTGAGCAAAACCAAAAAGAATTTAATGAGGGATCCCCTCTACATAGAAAGTCACATTTATAGCTTAGGGCCATTTTCTCTGGTAAATATCAACATCCTGCAGCTTAACACCACTGGTCTGAGAATGTATTAGGGAAAAGAAATTTTAAAAAGGAGTGAAGAAATTTTAAAAAGGAGTGAGTATAATAATGCAAAGTATTTGGCAGCCTAACCACATAAGCAGTTGCCATCTCCTCCATAATATAAAGTGATGTCATGTAAATTAGACTGGGGACACAGTTCTGATATGAAATAACTGCATTTTAGTGGCATAAAGCCCATTATTTTTATTCAGAAACATATAACACAACTATGCAGGCAGCTGGGTAGACAAAGTGAGAAGTACGTTAAACTCTTCCTCCTTTTCAACTGCAATAATGTGCAGCCATCCCTCATAAAATTTAGCAACTGTTGAGTAACTTGCTGCAAAACTGTCTCACAGTTCATGAGCAGGAATGAGAGTACTGATTCCAGTGAAACTGCAAAAATATATCATCCAAATTAGGATATGGACAAGGCACAAAGGCTAATGCTTGCACGACTACAGAAAACAGGCACATGCAGAAGCACAGGCAGAGTAACTCAGCATTGTGCTCTATCTCCCCTCCAGCAGAGCCCTGCAGCCGTGGAAGGGAATGCCAGTGCTGGAGGGCACCCAGGGAAATGGCATAAACCTGCTTCCCTGCTGAACTGCTGGAGCTCAGAGCAGCCTGGCCTGGTGGAAACCATCCCACGGCAGGAACGGGATGAGCTTTAAGATCCCTTCCTACCCAAACCATTCCATGATTCTATGGTTAAGGTAGATGCCAACATGGATTCAGAGCACTGGCTGCCCCCTGAGAGATGGGACACAAGAGATCCAGCCCCTCTAGACAGACAGGAGTGAAAAGGGTTTTGTTGCAGCACACATACCCTTAGAATTTGTGGGGACAAGCTGGAAAGTTGGAGAAATACACCCAATACAGAGGTGTGGGAAGTTACTTTGCTCTGATCTCACCTTGTTCTGCTCACATCTCATTTCAGTACACCATTCTCCTTTGGTACAACAGGAGTCTGCAGCTGGGGAAGCGCGGTTCTGTCTGCGCCTGCAAAGGGCAGAGCAGAGGACAGCAGCAACGCGCTGAATTGAAATTTAATTGCAGGTAAATCATGTAGAAGCGGGCGGCTGCTGCAGCTTCGCTGAACAGGAGCCTGGCCGGGCTCCTGCCAGCATCCAAGGGCAGAGCAAAGATACGGAGCGGGGAGGCAGCGATCGCACCCACGGCTGCGGGACCGGCCGCGTGTGCTGAGCGCCGGGGGCGAAGAGTGCGGGGACAGAGCGCCCAGAGCGCCGGCCGGGGGCACCGGGCACCGCACCCGGATAAGGACACCGGAGTACGGACAGGCGGCACCGCACCCGGGTACCTGGGCACGGCTCCGGGAGCACCGACACCCGCACCTGCCCGAGCGGCTCCTTCCCGGGGCAGGGAGCGGGGGCGGACGCGGCACGGGCTGAGCCCCCCGCCGGGGCTCGGGAAGAAAGTTTGGCGGCTCGGGGAGCGGCCCGCGGGGGTCGCAGCGGGGCCGCTCCGTGCCCACGTCTCCTGTGACGCGCGGCAGCGCCC